GCTTTTGAGCGATTACAGCAATGCATTTTAAATAGTTTTTGAGCGATTATGGCAATGCATATTTTACTTTCGCTGTTTTTTGTTTTGCAATTCTGGCTTCTTACTGCATCTTATATTGTTGTTGATTGTATTGGAGTGTCTTTGCTGGAAAATTGAGATGTTTATTTACGTGACAAAGTAACAGCCTATTCAGCTTTTTGAACCGTGTTGACTCTACTAACTCAGCTTGATCAATTTAAAACAGCGGAAAACTCCATGAAGTAGAATTGTTCAGCTATCCTGAGAAGATAAGTTAGAGCTCCTAAAATCAATTTTCAAGCCTTTTTGCGTTAATTTATAGCCAGGCACAAAAAGAAATTATAAGTCCAAAATTTTGTTTCATTTTTATTGCTTTTATAACTTTTTACTTTTGTTTTATAAGACTTTATTCAAACAGTTTCATTTTATTTTGTAAAATATAAAATTTTTATGGTTTTATGAGAGTCTGAAAATGTTTAACCTTAGGGCATAATTAAATGCCTATCGTATGGCCAGTTTTTAAACTTTTTTATGTATAAAGCTACACTTTTCGTACAAATCAGACTGATAGATAGTGTGTGTTGAAGCTTTGCGGTTGTACTGGTTTAATTTGAACGTCTTTTGCTGGTTAAGAAACATAGCCTCGTTTTTTTCCTTTTCTCGATCCAATTTATGAGCATGAGGAATAAATTCTAGCTAGTTTTGTAATTTGAGAAAGCTTAGTTCAAATGCTCATCGGCGAACAATACAACAAACGCTCTTTACAAGTGGCAAGTCCGTCTATTGTGCTTCCCCAGCAAACCGCAAAAATGAGATCTCGCGCCTGCCACCTGCTGCAAACCGCCGTTTGTCCTATTCTCTTTCCTACGATGGTTGCAAAGACCACCTGGACATTCGGTATGAGGATCCCAACTAGCTGCTACTGGAATATTACCGCGCTTTCGTCAGAGAAATTTGGTACTGGCATATCAGCTTATTTATAAGCGACCCTCAGAAGTGAGAGCCAACGACAGCCTTGCCAGTGATTGCCGTTGGCATATGCTACCATTCGGGCTAGTTTCGAAGTGCTTCCGCCTTATACTGAGAGCAAAATGCAGAGGGGATTTTGACTTTTTGACATCATATGTGCTGCCGGCGCAAATTTTTTTTCATATCAAGCATATGTTCATTTTTCAAAATTCGGATAAATGCGTCAGCTAACTTAAGGGAAGTTTGTCACACACCTCTTCAGCCTTTTCATTTAGTGTCTTTATTCAGCAGTCAATGGTTTGCTTATTGCTGTGTTTGTATGTAATAACTTCCGGGCTTCCTAGGTCGCAGTCCAGTCTGCTCGTGTCGCCAAATAGTTGCCAGTGAGTGCTAATGATGCTGTTAGCAATAACTTTTTTTTCTGTATTAGCTCTTCATATTTTTTCGCTTCAACTCAAATTCGGTATCTACGCGAAAGATTTCTGGCCTTATTCTCCTTCGCAGAAATTTTTCAAAACTTGAAGGCAGGCTGGTAATCATGCTTATTCCTCCAAAGCGGCTTCTCAGTACAATGGTACCACTGAGCTTTGTATATTACTGAGCTGAGCTTTGTATATTACTGAGCTTTGTTTCATCACTATTAATATTATTACTTTCTGGCATAAAATTCGCTGTTTTTAAGTGTATTTCTTGGTTTTTACTATGCATTTTTACATCCAAACAAGGCACTGAGTGTAGCCCTAGTTTACGCATAGTGCACTAAGTAGTGTTCGGTAGGCATGGCTTGATGGGGTAGCACTGTTTTCTTGCAGTAGATCGAAGGTCCGACTCTGCTGACGAGATAACCGGCCTCTCTATGATTTGTTTCGGTGGTAAGTGGAACGAAATGTATTAGGGAATCAAACCCGTCATCAGCTTGCTCGTAATCAACCTTCAGAAGTGGGACTTATCAAGAGTCTTGCCAGTGATTGGTTGCTGCTGGCATTTGCTACCACTCGGACTACTTCCCGAATGCGAAATATGGAAGGATCTTTACTTTGGCACTGAGTAGTGTTCACACAAATTTCTGCCTACGAACAGCAGCCTATCAAAGCTGAATTCCTGGGCTCTGTGCTGTTCCGGTGATTCTAGTGCGTAAATGATGTTGCTTTTAAAT